CTCTGGGATTCAAGCGATTCTTATGGCTCAGTCTCCCAAGTAGCTGGGTTTACAGGCACCCACTACCATGCCTGGCTAATTTTTGTATTTTTAGTAGAGATAGGGTTTCACCATGTTGGTCAGGCTGGTCTTGAACCCCTGACCTCAAGTGACCTGCCCTCCTTAGCCTCTCAAAGTGCTGGCATTATAGATCTGAGCCACCCTGCCTGGCTGATTGCTTTTGATTTATTTTGATTACTTTTAATTTATGCATTACTTTTTCTTTTCAAGATGGAGTCTCACTCTGTCACCCAGGCTGAAGTGCAATGGGGTGATCTTGGCTCACTGCAACATCTGCCTCCTGGGTTCAAGCAATTCTCCTTCCTCAGGCTCCTGAGTAGCTAGGATTATAGTCACGCACCACCATGCCCAGCTAATTTTTGTATTTTTAGTAGAGTCAGGGTTCACCATGTTGGTCAGGCTGGCCTCAAACTCTGACTTCGTGATCTGCCTGCCTCGGCCTGCCAAAGTGCTGGGATTACAGATGTGAGCCACTGCGCCTGGCCTATGCATTGCTTTATATGTATTTTAAAATTTATAAGTTCTCCTTCCTTGGTGTTTTTGTCCTATGTGATTTATTTGTTAAAGAAACTGCTTTTTTTGAGATGATGTCTCTGTTGCCCAAGCTAGAGTGCAATGGCGTGATCTTGGCTCACTGCAGCCTCCGTCCCCCGGGTTCAAGTGATTCTCCTGCCTCAGCCTCTCAAGTAGCTGGGATTACAGGCACCTGCCACCACACCCGGCTAAGTTTTGTATTTTTAGTAGAGACAGGGTTTCGTCATGTTGTCTAGGCTGGTCTCGCTCCTGACTTCATGATCCGCCTGCCTCAGCCTCCCTAAGTGCTGGGATTTAGGCATGAACCACCGTGCCCAGCCAAAATTGTCATTTTTTTATGTCTCATTTAATATATTCTGGATTTAAAGTATGAGTAACCTCATGGTATCAGTTAACATATTCTTTCATCCTAATGTTTCTTGTGAACTGCTAAATCTGTAAGCTTGATTAGATCTGTCATATTTGTATCACATCAGAACGCACTTTTTTTTTTTAAACGCAGGGAAATTGTATAAAAGTAGACAGAATGGTAAAATGAACTACTGCATACCTGTCACCCAGCTTTAATAGTTATCAGCTTATATCATTCTTGTTTGATTTGCAACCCCATCCATTTCTTTTCTTCTGTATTATTATTATTTAGTTATTTTGTGAGACACGGTCTTGCTCTATCCATGCTGGAGTGCTATGGGGTAATCATAGCCCACTGCAGTTTTGACCTCTGGGGCTCAAGTGATCCTCCCACCTCACCTTACCAAATAGCTGGGACCACAGGGTGTGCACCACCACACCTAGCTAATTTTTAATTTTTGTAGAAAAGGGGTCTCGCTTTGTTGCCCAGACTGGTCTCAAACTCCTGCACTTAAGTGATCCTCCTGCCTTAGCCTCCCAAAGTTCTGGGATTACAAGCATGAGCTAACACGTCCAACATGAACTTTTTTTTAATATTAATTTAACTGGCATTTTAAGTCACACTTGAATTTCATATTTAGCAACTATTAAAAGCATAGAATCCTGGATATTAGTGTTTTGTTAAACCTGATCTATCCAACCATAAATATACTTAGACCTAAAATGTGACCTTGGCCTTTTTAATTGAGATTCAGTGTTTGTTACTATATGAAATAGAATATTTGGTTTGAGATACTAATGAAAAGATTAAAAGTAAAGAATAACTTGAATGGATACAAAAAGAAACAAGAATTTAGACTGCTGTAAATTTCAGAGAATACTACTTTGATACGCTAGCATTTCTCTTGGATGTCCAACCATGTCATAGATCAGTGGAAATCAAGTGGTTTTTGCACTCTGTACTGCTTTTTATATGATAATATTTTCCTGGTTGAACAGTTTGTTCTGCTGAGTAAACTCCATGTCAAACAATTACTTTTTATTAGTCAAAGATGTAACTATATAATCACTAAAAAGAACAGTGTGACTTCTTGAAAGGGGATTATGTTTTTAAGTCTTACATAGCTCTGTACGGGGGCCATATGAGTTT